GATGTTAATTTAAATAGGTTAGAATTCGATGATATGGACTTTAATGAAGATTTACCTCAGTTCCCCACATTATCACAAACCAGCAATCAATCTTTAGATGAAGATTTGCCTCAGTTATCTGCATTACCACAAGCCAGTTTAGTCAAATGAAAAAAATTAAAAGGCAGGGTGGTAGTCCTGTTAAAGCATTTTATAATCTTACATTAATTAATAATACTGAATTTTGGGTTTGTTGCCATAAAGTTTGTACTCCTAAAACAAAATATATAAAAGATAGTTCTACTTCTAATTTATAGCGATATTTGAGAAATAAACACCATATATTACGAACTATAGTGAAAGGTGGTCAAGCAAAAGTTGTAATAAAGGACAATAGTTGTGAATTTTGTATAATTCCTGAATCATCTCAAACAACACTAACACAAGCATTTAACAAAACAAAAAAATATATATTCAGTAACCCTAACAAAAAAAACTTGATAATAACATAGTAGCTTTTATTGTTGAAGAGCTTCAACTATTCTCAATTACTCAATCGCGAGCACTTAAAAGAATCATTAAAGGACTCAATTCCCAAGCTAATGTACTTAGTAATGATCGGTTAAAGAAAATTTTTATTAACTCTGAAAATAAGATTTTATAAAATATTTGCGAATATGCACTTAATAGTGCTGAAATTAGTCATGTTTCATTTACAACCGATATGTGGACGTCAGATAATGGTGATCCATATATTGGACTTACACTTCATTAGATCAATAATAGCTTTTAAGTAAAAGAAATGATTGCCAATATCTCATACCTTCCATATCCTCACACCTCCAAATGTCTTTTTAATAAAATAGTCGAAATTTTGGATAATCTCAACCTCAAACATATAACCATTAGTGATACAGTTGATAATGGGCCTAACATTAAATTGTGTTTAGAAAGGTTAGGATGAAAATATAATATTTTTCAAATTTTTTGTTTTGGACATACCTTGCAGCTCGCAATTAATGATGGGTTAAAAGAGTGTTTTGAAATTACAAATCTAATAAAAAAATGTAAAAATTTAGTATTACTTTTAGTGGAAGTCCAAAACAAAAACAATTTTTTTCAGAAGCTCAAATGGAGATGGAGGGTTGAGATAATTTTCTTTTTGTAGTTCGTGATGTTGTAATAAGGTGGAACTCAACGTTTTATCTTTTAAAACAACTAACAATTCTTAAACCTGTAATATATAAGTATAAATCGTTTTTAGTTGAAAGTAATGAAAATAGTACACTGCGAAGTTATGAAGAAAAAGAGTTGTCATCTAATGAATGGGAAAAAGTAACCAAATTAGTTAAATTATTGTATCTTTATGAAGTAGTTACAAAAAAATTATTAGGCTCCTAGTATCCGACACTTTCTTAAGCATGGTTCGCAATTAATTTTATCAAAGGAAAACTTGATTGTGCAGTAACAGAGAATGTTGATGTCCAAAAATTTAAAACTCTTCTTTATGAATCAATCTAAAATCAATTTTTAGAACCATCAAAACCAATTCGAATTGCTGCTTTTCTTGATCCATGAACCAAAAATATGCAAATCTTTACAGAAGAAGAAAAGAATCGTACTATTTCAGAAGCATGTATAGAATATCTTGAATTAGCTACTAACTATTATATAGATAATATTTCAGATACTGTATCTAGTGATATAATGAATGCCGATAATGACATTTTCTCTGATCCTTCAGCCACTTACTTACAAGAACATTCAAATAAACAAGATGATAATAATAATATTATTAATCGTAAGTTTAACTCATATTTACTATTACCAAGAGTTGTAAGTGAAACAGACATACTCCAATAGTGGGTTTCAAGAAAAGCTGATTACCCTATACTTGTTAAACTTGCTCGTAAGTATCTGTCCATCCCAGCTACATCAATGCTGTCCAAATGCCTTTTTTCAGCTGCAGGTTTAACTATTACTGAAAAAGAACAAAGCTTAACCCTCAATTTGTTGGATTAATTTTAGTGCTTAAGGCAGCTCTAAAACTTTGGTCTGTTTCATATATTTTTGACCAGGTAAAAAATTTTATACTTAAATGATTTTGAATAATGCTGTTAAGTGGATAATTCTGAAATTAATTGGTAGTAAACCCTGAAATATACATGATAAAGTGCTTGTATATTAAATAATTCATTAAAACTTTGTGAAAAAACATATTTTATAAAAATATAACCAACCAGTGCATCTGTATTAAGAATTAGAGGGGAAGCTTATTGAATTATAAACAGATATAAAAAATCACCTAAAAATTTAAAGAATCTATTAGAATTAAGCATGCAATCTTATTGAACATTAAATGTGTTATTTAGAAAAAATTGAATAAAGAATAAAAATAAATACCAAAAGTAAATAAAAATAAATACCAAAGTGAATAAAAAATAAATTAGTGCGATTTAATCAAACATTACTAATTCAAATACTTTGAATATGTATATATATACGTACGCACACACAAACGTATGTATGACATACCTAATAATAATTTAATACAGATGCGATTGATTATATAGTTATATGTAATGTAATTTAGCAGTTAATTTATTTTTAATTCTGACCCGTTTGACCCGGGTTAGGTCAAATTTTGACCTGTGACCCGTTGGGTCAGGTGACCCGTTGGGTCAGGTGACCCGTATGGGTTACCCGACCCGGGTAATACCTCTAGTTCTATGACTTCTATCGTTTTGCGTGCTAGATTGGGTTTATGTGCTGGTATATAAAGCCCTACTACACTTATCTTGTTGCAAGATAAAAAAAGATCTACTCGTATGGCAGTTCCCTGTACCTTGTTAATTACATGTATGTATGTTGCTATTGCTGGATGAAGACACAAAGCAACTCCCAAACTCACTTCTCTTTCATTTGGCTAATTTATATTGTAGTTGGAACTAAGTATTTTGTAAAGTGGATTAAATACTGCAATTTCATTAGTATGTTTTAGTTTGGTTTCTGTAATGACTACAATATAAAACTCTTTGAGATTTAGATATTCCAACTATTCTTGGAATTTTATATTATTGTTCAAACCCTGCACATTGTGTGTTGTTATATTTAGGCACGATAGATTATTTACTTGGAATAATTTTAGTTCTTGGTTTGTTTGTTCTATTGTTTCATATTGTGTTAAAGGTATTTCTGATAATTCGCTAAAGTTATTATGGTTTGTATCTTTGTTATTGATCATCTATCATGTCTTGATCCTTGAGGAAAGATGTCGCATTGTTGAATAAGTCCCATTCTGGTAGGGGTAGATCAGGCAATTGAATTAGATATAGTGGTAAACGATTGGTTTTGAAGTATGTTTGTAGGAATTCTGTAGCAGTGGCTATTTGTTCATAGTTATTGATTAGGAATATTAATTTATTTTTGATTTGATTTTCTAGGATTAGCTTTTCAAATCCTTCAAGGTTGTCAGGTAGTTTGTAGTACTTCTGTTCTATTTTTTTTTGTTCTATTTCATCTTTCTTCTTAGTAATATCTAACCATTGTTCTGGTATCTTATGAAAGTAATAGAATTTTCTAAATTTTTTGGTGGTAATAACCAGATCTCTACTGTTCTTAATAGAGACTTGCACTTCTATTTTCTTTATGTTTCAGGGGTCCCAAGGTAAGGCTTGTAAGTTTGTTGAATTGACAACCATGTACTCCAAAGGTACCGAATTGGGTATGACATATTTGTTCTCAACTTTTGCCAAAAACATCTTAGCTACTATTATATCTGCAATTGAAAAGGTATATAGCTTCTTTGTTTTAATTTGAGCAGGGTTTTTTGGTAATTGCATTTTATTGAGTATATAGTCGTTGGGCATCCTCTCAAAAGTGTAGTATTCATGCAGAATGTTTACATTTTTCTTAAAGTTCTCACTATTTTTTGACAAAAATAAGAAAAGATGTTTAATTCTAGGATCTACTAGTTGTGAGACTAACGGTAATGCTGGTAGTGGCTCCGGGAGATCAAAGTAATTGTCTGGGATTGGGCCAGTGAAGTAATAATATTTTTTTAATTTTGTATGATATTCTTTTAATTTCTTTAGATCTGAGTGTCAAGTTATCAGGAAGTAATTATGAGTTTGACCATTGAGCTTGTAGAGCAATGCTGAGAGCAGTTTTCTGTATTTAGCAAAATAATCTTCTGGCAGTTGCTAGAATTTAAAGATTTGTCTCAAAGTAGTTACTATTGCTCTGGTATCTTTTCGATCTTGTATAGGCAAATGAAAGGGGAAACAGTCTTTATACTTTGAATCCATTTGACCAGGCTTTTTCGGTAATTCATGCAACATTTTGATTTGTATTTCTGTGACTAATTTGCGCATTTTCTCAAAAGATACAGTTGTGTTTAGTTGGGTGAATTTGATACTATAGAATATGTATTTGGTGATTTCCATGTTATCCGACAAGTTAAAGTTTAGGTTTTTTATGGTATTGAGCACCAGGCTGATTTTTAGCATCTCAAAAATTTGGTCTTTGTTTTTTTTATTGGTAATGATTACATTATGTAATTTTTATATTTATTAATTGCTGTAAATAGGAGGTTATTAAACTCTGCTTGATAAGGAGGTTCGGTTTGTTTGTTACATGTAAAGGATCTAAAAAAAGCTGTATCCATAAACTGAAATTTTAGTTTGATTGCTTGCGGAACTAGGGTTTGTGCTGGTCTCGTGTTAAATTTGTAATTGATGAGTTCTCTAAGTACTTCTTTGTCTTTTAAGGATTAAATTATCTTGTTATTGTGCTATAATGTAGTGTTAAAGTCTTTTTTTACTTGTCTTGCTTTGAGATCTCTTATGTGTCTGACACATTTATCTATACGTTCATCCTTTGGTAGTTCTGTTTTTTTTCCTATTAATTTGTTATGATAGGAAGGCACTGGCGTCAAGACTCTTGATAGTATTGTGTCTTCAGATTGTTGATCTTTATGGCATTCTTCTATTTATTATGTAAGTTGAGGTTCTTACCCACAACTAGCTTTGTCGTTTGTTGATCTGATATCTTTATCTCGTTAGCCAGGTATGGATTTGTTTTGATTAGGAAATGAACTTGATTGGTTTATTATTTGTAACCTTTGCTCGTCTAATATTTTTGATACATCGCACACTGATAGTCCAGTGGCTATGGGGTTAGATTTGTTCAGCTGCATTGTGTCTGCATTATCTAGTGTCTTGCTTTTATCCAGTTCATCCTTTTTTGAATGCATCAAGATCTTCTTTGTTATAAATATCGCAGTCTATTGTATATATTGTGTAAGAATCTTTGTCTAAATTAGTGCTTATTAACTCCTGCTCTAGAAGTGACATCATTTCATAGTCGATGTTGGTTGTTGCAGTTTTCTCCAAAACATTTTCTTGTTTTCATCCGTTAAATTGTTCTGTTGGTTACTCATAGAATTGTGACTTTGTTTTGCTCCTTTTTTTGGAAAGTCTTCCATAGTCTCATCCCAATTGAGATCATTATTTTTTATTTGTAGTCTTGCTTTTTTGATGTCTGCACTGGTTGCCACCAAAGCTAGTAGCAAAGTTGTTTGTGTATTTTCTGTTGCTGCTAAGTTTCTATTTTTTTTTTTTTTTGCTTAGCTTAGACTGTGGGCTGTTGTAAGGGACTCTACTGTTCATAGTGTCTCTTCCTCTAAGGGGTTTTTGTTTTAAAACTCTCTCTCACCGTGTAATTTAGTTTGCAAATTTTGGATTTGTTTATTTACTTAATGTTTTGTGATCTACAGGAAAGAGTTTTGAAACATTATGTTTTTAAAATATATTTTAAAGTATATAAATAAGCTATCTTGGCAATTAATCTATATTAGCCTAGAAAATTCTATCATCATGTGTGTAATTGTATATCTAAATTTATGTAATGATCTACATTATACATATTGTTTACTGTTTTACATTTTTTGACCAATCAAATTGAATATCCACATGCTCTTTTTCTCTCTTTCTTCTCATAGTTTTTCTGATCAATTTCATTTCGATTAAACTCTTGTTATATTTATTCTTTTTACTCAATTTTATTATCATTACATTTCTTATTGATTATCACTTTATCTCTATTTTTTTTACATTATTTCGAATTATTTCGTATTATTTAATATCATATATTTTATTTCATTTTTTTATTTATTTTATTTTTATATTTTATTTTATATTATTTATTTTATCTTATCAAATGACTTTTTCTTTAAAATTGGTAGCAGGAAAATATAAACAACTTGTTGCTGGTTGGTGTAAGGCTTTAAAAAAATGACTGCTATTAGCCCTGCATCTCAGTTAGATACTGAGCGGGAAAGTGCACCTGTAATCAAAACTATTAGCACTCCATCATATCAATTTTCAAGACCTTATGATAGTTAAAATTAAAAAATAATTTTGTTTATTTCATTAATTTACTAGTACAGTCAGGGAATATACCATATTTGGTTATTGCAGATCACACCTTATGTGATAGCAATTATCCATCAAACTGTTCTAGATTTCTTTTCTAAACTACTGTATATTTAAATTTTTAATCTCATATATCTTAATAACTACTAGCCTGATTTTAATAATTTAACTACCATTTGACTCAAAATTATTCTCTCTACAACTTTACTTAGACTTGAAGATATCTTTACTTAATAACTTCTCACATAAACTTAAAGAAACATAACCAGATCTACTTTGGGTTCAAAATAAACCTACTTCAGGTTCAATGTAATCTACTTTGGGTTCAAAATATACAAAAAGTAGTTTTTTGTAATTATCTTAGCAACCAGCAGTCCAATTTGAATAAACTTTTTTTTTAATGAAAGCTGAGAGCTTTCATTAAAAAAAAAGTTTATTTAATTCTAATTACTAGATTCTAAAATATTCAAAAAATAATAAATTTTTAGTTTAATAAATTAAATTAAAATTAAACAAAATAGATAAAATTATTTAATCACCTGAACCAAATTTTCTGCTAACGGAAAAACAATTTTTTTGTTGGAAAGTCATGGCCTAACTTGCGGTTTGGCAAGAGGTCAAAACTTACTGCTATGAGAGACTCCTCTTTAGGCTATTTGGCATGCAAGCCAAGAGCATTGGTATTCAAGATAACTGGCAGGTAGTGCTCTTGAATATAAAATCTTAGTGGAGGGACAAAGAGCTTTTCTCTGTCGACGAAGCTTTTAGGCTGTTACTTCTTGGAAGAACATAGAGGAAACAACAAACAACTTGAGATTCTAATACACTTCTTAGAAAATTTTAAAGTCTTTGCAGACATACACCCTCAACCATATTCTCGCTATATTTTAGATTTTTTAGAAAATTTTTTGCTAACAAAAAGTGGGAGAATCGGCTTACCCCCTCCAAAAAATCTGCATTGTTTATATGGTCCCGATGTGAAACAGAACACTCGCAATTATAGCAACCAGTAGTACGTAATGTGCTATTTTAGTACCTGATGGACTGCTATTGGTGGGTACGGATTAGGAGGTAAACAAGAGTTGAGTCTACATGTAGAATAATGACTGATATTGATGCGAAGTAGAGGATTATCTAAGAATTTCTTGCAGGGCTAACTCTATCCCAAAGGTGGATTTAAATATAATACAGACTTTATTTAGAGTAGAGCTAAATAGAAGAGTATTATATAATTTTTACAACAACCCAACATTTCTGTTAGAACTTATTTCTTCCTATCTGTTTTTTTTTTTTTTCACAATCTGTATCTTTTATTTTTTTTTTATTTGTTTTGTTTTCTTTTTTTGGTCATTTTCTTGGAAAAATTCTTTTTGTTTTTTACCCCTTTATCTTGTGCTCTTTAAGAAGAGGAAAAAATTAGAAATGAAAAAATTCAGTCTTGACATGGTGAACAACAACCCGTCAGTGATCAAAGAGTATACTCAAGTTGGTACGAAATCCTTAGTAAGTTAAGAATCCTAAGAGAGACTAATTGTTGTTTTAGCAAGTCGTATTGGGCTTCGGCTTGGTAAGTTTTTATTAGATCAGAACATTAAACTTCATGTTATTAGTCTAGTAAGTGTTCAAACAAATAAAGACAAGACTGCTTAAAAAAAAAAAAAAAAAAAATAGATAAAATTATTTAAATTAATTTGCTTTAGATTTAAATTTTTATTTCTATATAAAAAGTGATTATATAGAAGGACAATTGTATTTATTTAAAAAATAATAAAAATTTTTTATAATTATATATAATTTGTAAAAGAATTGTTAAATAATTAAATTTTACTTATTACATAATGCATCTAGTTTGACTTGGAGTTTTCTAAATTTTGATTACAGTACTAAGTTCATTATCAAATTCATTATCTGAAATAAACAAGCACTTTATCTCTTGTAATATGCTTAACAATTCACCTCGATTTTTCGACTCCAATCTAGAATATTTTTTTTGAATATCTTCACTAAGCTGCTCAAGAAGGGCCTTTATTTTTACCAAAATTTCAGGCTTCTTTATATTTTCTTCACTATTTTGTACTTTAGCCTCTTGCTGTGTAATTGGTATTGATCTAAATAATAATGGTTTATTTTTATTAATAAATGTTTTAGTAATAAAATCTTGATGAACTTGTTTTGCTAAATGAGAAAAATCTTTTAAATTTTTATTTAATCCATATTTTTCAAGACTCTGACTAACAAATTCAAGACTTCGAAAATAAGTTATAAATTCTTTAACATTCCAGTGATAATTCTGGCTGAGTTTTTAATCCTGAAGCTTAAGAGTTATTATACCCAATTGTTTCAAATAAATTATTTCTAAGCTATAGTTTGTTATAAAACTTTTAGTAAAAACATAGATAAAGATAATTTAATTAAAACAGATATACCTCAAGGAATTTTTTACAATTATGTGCTACAGTTATCCAATGATAGTGTTGTGAAATAGATAGTATTAAAGACTTCAGGGTCTTGTTTATCTCCTCCATAACCACATATAAATCTTGATATTAGTTATAAATACTAGTAGATTAGTGGTGGCAGAAATAACACATCATCACATAACCAAAGATCACTTCTGATGTAGTTTCCGGCCGGAAGATCTACGCTTATCAAAGAGGAAACTGCCAATTTTTTAAAATGTTAAGTGAAGATATCTCCACAAATGCTGACCGAATTCTAAGAATTTTTTTATTTGAATTCTATGAATCCATAGAATTCAAATAAAAAAACTCTATCAAATTTGATTAAATAGTTATAGAGATATATTCGCTCAAAGTTAGGAAAAAATCAAATCAGCTATCAAAAATAGAAGCTGTACCAATTTTTAAAGAAATTTGAGTGAGAATATCTCCATAACCACTTGACCAATTTCTATAAAATTTTTTTTATTTGAATTTCATAGATATATAAAATTCAAATAAAAAAATTATTATCGAATCTGGTTAGATGGCTGTGGAGATATCTTTGATCAAATTTTTTAAAAAATTGATGCAGCTTCTATTTTTGATAGCTAATTTTGATTTTCTCTAACTTTAAGCGAAGATATCTCCATGACTATCTAATCAAACTTAATGGGGTTCTTTAATTTGAATTCTATGAATCATAGAAATTCAAATAAAAAAAAATTTTTGAAACTTGGTCAGGTATTTGTGAAAATATCTTCGCTCAAATTTTTTAAAAAATTGGCGCAGCTTCTATTTTTGATAGCTGATTTTGATTTTCTTTAACTTTAAGCGAAGATATCTTCATGACCATCTAATCAAACTTAATGGGGGTTCTTTAATTTGAATTCTATGAATCATGGAAATTCAAATAAAAAAAATTCTTGGAACTTGGTCAGGTATTTGTGGAGATATCTTTGCTCAAATTTTTAAAAAATTGGCGCAGCTTCTATTTTTGATAGCTAATTTTGATTTTTTTTCTAACTTTAAGCGAAGATATCTTTATGACCATCTAATCAAACTTAATGGGGTTTCTTTCATTTGAATTTTATGGATTCATAGAAATTCAAATAAAAAAAATTCTTAGAACTTGGTCAGGTATTTGTGAAGATATCTTCGATCAAATTTTTTAAAAAATTGGTGCAGCTTCTATTTTTGATAGCTGATTTTGATTTTCTTTAACTTTAGGCGAAGATATTTTCATGACCATCTAATCAAACTTAATGGGGTTCTTTAATTTGAATTCTATGGATTCATAAAATTCAAATAAAAAAAAATTCTTGGAACTTGGTTAGGTATTTGTGGAGATATCTTCGCTCAAATTTTTAAAAATTGGCACA